AAAGGGGGCGTGCGTGGGCACAGCGGGTCAGGGCGGTGACCCTCGATACAGCAGAAAGGGGGCGTGCGTGGGCACGGCGGGGCAGGGCGGTGACCCTCGATACAGCAGAAAGGGGACGTGCGTGGGCACAGCAGGGCGGTGACCCTCGATACGGCAGAAAGGGGGCGTGCGTGGGCACAGCAGGGCGGTGTCCCTCGATACGACAGAAAGGGGGCGTGCGTGGGCATGGCGGGGCAGGGCGGTGACCCTCGATACAGCAGAAAGGGGGCGTGCGTGGGCACAGCAGGGCGGTGACCCTCGATACGGCAGAAAGGGGCCGTGCGTGGGCACAGCGGGGCAGGGTGGTGCCCCTTGATACGGCAGAAAGGGGGCGTGCGTGGGCACAGCGGGTCAGGGCGGTGACCCTCGATACAGCAGAAAGGGGGCGTGCGTGGGCACGGCGGGGCAGGGCGGTGACCCTCGATACAGCAGAAAGGGGGCGTGCGTGGGCACAGCAGGGCGGTGACCCTCGATACGGCAGAAAGGGGGCGTGCGTGGGCACAGCGGGGCAGGGCAGGGTAGTGCCCCTCGATCATGCTGTCCCATGATGAAAGACTCCTTTCTCCCACGTTCGGCGGAATGTCTGCCTTTTCGTTCGGTGTCCATCTAAACACCCATGTCTTTATTTTTCCATTTTTCAAATTCATTTTTGGCAGACGAAAAAATGTTTCCTCTGTTCAGCTCCACGGACTCCTCTCCCTCTGCACACATCAAAGTAAAGCTCTCAGTGTATCTCATGGGCCATTTGGGATCTTCGGTGCCGTGGCCTGTTCCAGCTTCCCAGGCTTTCCCAGGCTAACCCACTTTAGCCACCTTCATCCGCAATTAAGTACAAGGTATCTATTATAAGGACCCTCCAAATATACTTTGATAGTTTTAAATTAGGAGGGTAAATTATCCCAAATTATCCCAGCATCCCTGCGAAAACCTTTTTTTAATTTGCACGACTCCTTTCCGTTTAAAATTCTTCTGTGCCTTGCGCTACAAACGCCAAGATGTGGCAGTTTGGGGAATTCACAAAAGTGCAGCTGAATCGAGGGTCTGCTGCACCTGGCGGGGGGGGGGGGGGGGCTCTGCCATTTCCCGGATCAGAGCAGCGGGTTGTTGGCCAACCTCCCACCACCGCTCCCCCCCCCCGGAAAAGGAATTTCAGCGATGCTGCCCTCAGGTGGGTCCACTGTATTTCCCATCATGCACCTGGTTCGCACATTTTCTCAAGGCTGGCTATGGTGACAGAAGGCATTGTGCACTGGGTCCCTCTGAAGATGCCCCTTCAGTTTGGATCAGTCCATTTTTGCTAAGCAGGTTCTGCTCCTCAACACCTGCAGGTGCAAATGATGTAGCACCTTTTGCTAATGGCCCAGGACTGTCAAAGGCAAAGCACTTTTTTCTCCCTCTGTGTGGAAAACACATCAACAGAGCCCTCCATCCTAAATCCACCTTTATGTTAAACACCCAGTTTATTCTCTTCGCAAGACAGCTTGTAGATTTAATAAATTTCACAGCTCCGTGCTTCACTGGCTTTTGGAAATAAACTCTGAGTTTGGGTGCAAGCAGCAGTAATAAATGGATTCTGACAGATGTGGTTGATGGACTTTTTACTTAACTTACTTTGTACAAAAAAAAAAAAACAGATCAAGGCACCACTGTTGGCCTGGACTCCTGCTTCTTCTTCTTCTTTTAGGTGCTGACTATGTTTTTATGGCTGTTAATTTATTTATTATTTTCCCCGTTCATCAGAAAGATTGCATAAGAGCCTTACGTAGGGGGCGCCAGTCGCTTGCGACAGCTGATTTATTTGGTTGTAAATTGGGCTCTTTTTTCATCTTTTTTTGTTGCGATGAGCTAAGTAGCCATGAAATTGCTTGAATAATGTAGTTTAAATCCAATCTCGGCA